TTTTTTTTGAGAGAGAGTCTCACTCTGTCACCAGGCTGGAGTGCAGTGGTGTGATCTCAGTTCACTGCAACCTCTGCCTCCTGCATTCAGGTGATTCTACTGCCTCAGCCTCCTGAGTAACTGGGACTACAGTCATGTGCCAACACACCTGGCTGATTTTTTTTTTTGTAGTTTTAGTAGAGACAGGGGTTTCACCATGTTGGCCAGGATCGTCTCGATCTCTTGACCTCGTGATCCACCTGCCTTGGCCTCCCAAAGTGCTGGGATTACAGGCGTGAGCCACCGCGCCCGGCCATTTCATTGAAAACTATTATCCTCATTTTCTATTTGTGGAAACCGAGGTCCTTGAAAAGTCAGGTGACTTGTACCTGTCACATGCTGGTGGCAGAGCCAGGCTTTGAATCTAGGTCTACTGAGTCAAGTCAAATCTTCATTCTACTCTGGGAAGAACCCTGAGCCCTGGAAGGACCTCAGGGGAAGTCCACCTGGTTTCCTGTCCCTGGCCAGAGGCTGATGTCAGGGCCAGGAGGGAGGGGTGGCCAGATACTCTCAGAAACAAGTCCGAATCAGTTTCCTGTTGGGATTAGTGGTTTCCAAGACACACAGAGAGAGGAACATTTTCTAGCTACGGCCACTGTTGAAGTAAAAATGTTCTGTGGAAACACATCACCAGGGCATCCATCCCCAGAGGAGATTTGATGTGGAAGGTACAATTTTGTATTTTACAATAGAAATACAGAATTCCATAAATTTATTCTCTGCCCTCTTCCCATCCCAGGCCCCTGTGGAATGCTGGTCCTGATTTAGAGAGAGAGCTGGGGCTAGAAGGTTTCTGTTCTCACTATGGCCTCCGGCTCTCCTCCAAAGGGAAGGGTCCAGCCAGCACAAGGCTCCAGTTGAGGCTGATTTGTTTAATGAGGTTATACCAAGGCCCAGGGAGTATCACCCAGGCCCGAGAGAAGTGAGACACTGTCGTCCCTGGGTCCATCCTGGGCCCTGTCCCCTCTGGGTTCTAGCTGAGATTCAGCCATCAAGTTCCCAGATGTAGAGCATGAGGGTGGGCCCTTTAGGATGCAGTTGGGTTTGCTAGGCCTTCCTTTTTTTCTTGCAAAGATTTTATTTTTAAGTATAGCTAGGAGTTCAAGGATCATTGGCTGTCAGGCTAGACTAGCTCCTCATGGCCTCTAAGCACACATTTCCAAACACTGACCTAGGAGCACAGGCACCTGCTTTCAGGTCCTGAGACCTCCTGGGAAAACCTTCCTAGAAATATTCTTTACCATGCTCTCTTATCTCTCAGCCTAGATACCCGGGAAGTCCTATGATTGATCTGACCTCAAGGGAGCTATTGCTAAATGAAACAACGTGTTATGAAGCGAGAGGTATGGTTTCTAGTGGCTTACCATCACTTACAAACTATAGAAACATGGGCCACTCACCCCCAAATATCTACCTTTGGTCTGATCTGGTAAGTGGAAATACTACTTCACAGTCTGGGGGCTAGACCACCTCTGATTCTCAATTTCTCAGCAAACTGTGGGTCATCCTCACTGTGGAAGTCGAAAGGAGCTGTGGATGCGGATGAAGCATGTCCTATCTGCTTCTGGCTGAGGTTTCCTGGCAAAGTCTGGAATGATGATGATTACATCAGGAGAAATGTCCTGGGAGCTTTCTTCCTATGAAGGTCAGACTTTCCCAGAGGGCAGCAAGGTTTCTGCAGGAAGGGGGTGGGGCGGGTGGAGTTGGCATGATTTGTTCTGCTAAGCAAGAGAGAGGTCTTAACAGTGCCCATCCCCCGAACCCTGCACAAATCACTTGGATTTGCTGGCCCTTTCAGAGTAAAAGAGCATGGTGTATGTCTCTCACACTTTATCCCCATCTCTGATGTAGCCCATTGCGTAGATGAAAGAAGTGAGGCTCACAGAGGTGGGGGTACTTCCTCTGGCTGACCCACCTTGCAGAGGCAAAGCTGGGGTTGGAACCCAAACAGCCTGGTCTCCAGAGCTGAGGGCATCCCAGAGGCTGTGTTGCTGCAGGTGCATTTGTAAAGGGCATTTCTGTGCGGTGCTGGGTTGTGGGGTGAGGCTGCCTATGCGGAGTGAGGGCCATGTAAGGCTTGAAGCATGTGGCGCGTGTGCTGCCTGTGCACGTGATGGGCTGTGCAGTTCCAGATGCCTGTGAGACCACGCGTGTGCATGCCCGCACCTGGCTCCTCCTCCCCAGGTGGTATGGCTGGGGGCCGCTTTCCCCACTTAGAGGAGTCTGCAGAGGAGCCAAACCACAGCTCCAGCCAAACCACAGCTTGGGCCGCAGGGGTTTGATCTTCCCTCTGCTGCCGGAGATGAGAGAGGTCTAAGTGGCAGAGATTTACGGGGCCTGAGGGAGAAATACCCTTCCAGTGAGAAGCTCACATGAAAAGCTCCGGAGTAATAACCGAGGCTGCAGAGCGTGCCAATTATGCAACAATTAAAAGGTTTGACTATCATTTCTTTCTCCTTTTATTCTCCCAGTTACTCCTCCCCCTGCCACATCTGGCTGCCCCCTCGGGCTCCCCAGCAAATGCTCTGGGGAACAGAGAATAAAGAACACACTTTTCCCCTTTTTAATTGGAGATCAAAAGTTGGAAGAACTTACCCCCTCAGGGGCAGGAAGAAAGGGGTATTGTTGAGATGGAGTCCCTCAGAGGAGGGGATGGGAAAGGAGAAAGGAGTGTCGGGCAGGTCCCTGTGCAGCTTGTCAGGGTCTGTAAGAATTTTACAGACATCATCTCACATAATCCACAGGCCAACCCTGTAGGATTAGTACTATCACTGGCATCATGTTTCAGATTAGAAAACGGAGACTCACAGAGGCAAAGGCTTTGACCAAGGTCACATCACTGGTAGAATTTGCATTGGACCCCAGCCTGTCTGATGCCAAGGGCTTTGCTACCAGGCTCCTAGCCTTGGCTTTCCCATTGGTAAAGTGGGTGCAGGCCCGGGGCTTTGTGTGATGCGACCAAGTGCTCCCGCAGATGAAAAGTACAGTGGGCGCTTAGCGGCAGGATTGCTCTGTAATTCAGCCAGCACCAGCTGAGCCAAATGCCCTGCTCGGCAATCCATTGGCCAATTGAGAAAGAATTAGGCAGTGTGCCCTAAAAGTGAAGAAACGGTAGCTAGTTGGCTTTTTAGAGGTGCCAACCCACAGCGGGTATATGCACCCCCTCCCCAACTGACTTCCCAGCAGAGCTAACAGCACCCACACTCCGGGGCCCATGACCTTGGACTCCTGCTCATGCATGGCAACTCCAAATGCTGCCCTAAAAGCTCTTGTATCTCCTGAGGGAGGGTGGCTGTGGGGGCACAGGCTTTTACAGGGTAGTGAGCATCTCTTACGTCTAGGATCCCCCAAACAGCTGGCACATAGCAGGCTCACACAGTTCACATCTGACCCAGACGAAAGAGGACAGCAGGCTGTACCCAAGGGGCTTTCATGTATGTTTTCTCGTTAACACACCCTAGGTCTGCTCTGTCTCTAACAGAGGGAGTAACTCTGGGCGGGCCATGCCACCTCCTCGGACATCAGTTTTCTCAGATGTTGATTGAGTGGGTTAGACTGCCCAGAGTTAACTGTCCAGCTGTCTATGACAGCTAGAGAGGGAGGAACACATAGCCCAAGCCACGCACAGTGGCAGGGAGAGGTTCCGATTTTCCTGTCTCCAAGCTGGAGCTTGTCGCCCACACCTCAGCCCGCAGTCTTCTGGAGGGTGAGCGTGCTGGCAAAGCTGGGCTGGCTCTGCCGTTTCTCCTGCTTCAGGCTGAGCGCAAGAACGCAGCCACACTCCTGGGTCTTGTGGCCACAGGGAAAAAGAGCGGAGCTTGGGTTCAGCCTCCCCATTCCTTTTCCCTGCACCACCACAGATGCCATCAGCCCAGGCCTCCTGGGATAGCTTTTGCCCAGTGGTTTTCTGCGTAAGTTGCTTCCCAGGTCACAGCTTGGCTCAGCATTTTCTCCTCTGCTGCTTTGGATTCTTGAAAACCCCTCACCTCAGGAGTGATGTCCTGGAGTATACGTGGGTTGGGTGGAGAATGGAGGCGGGGGTTGGTTATGGAGGGTGAGGGGAAGCAAGTAGGGGGTAAGAGAAACTGACCATCCCCCTGACACCATGAGCTCCACCCCAACCTCAGCGGCTCACACTTGGTGACCCGGGGGTCCTTCTCTCCCCACTGCCCCTCTCCCAGGCCTGTACCAGGTGGCCGTGGCAGCCAGCTCCCTCGTGGGAGCTGAGCGACCCCAGCTGGCAGCGACGGCCACACGTAGCCCAGCCAGTTGTTTGCTCAAGTGGGGCCCACGCAGCCCACTGTGAGGGGGCTGGCAGGACTCCAGAGGAAATGATGGGAGGCTTTGGGTGCATTCTGACCTTAACTGAATTCCAGGATGATGATGTGTGAATAATATGGCTTTTTGAGAGTCAACAGCTTGGGTGCTTTTTATAGTCAGGCTGGAGCGCTGAATGGGCCATCTCCCCATTAATCATTAGGTAGTTAGATCGACTGGCAAACAGTCCCAGCATTACTCTGTGGTATTACTCTCCCTTCCGTCAGCAGCCACCCTTACACAGATGTCAAAACTGCCATCGAGTCAGCCCCAGCCCCGCCCCCATGCCTTCTATTCCCCAGGCTTCATATTCTACTTCTTCGAGCTTCTTGCAAGTCCCATTTTTGTCCAGAATTTTCATTATTTTGGTGGTCTCTGCCTGCAGGGAGATCCCAGGTTCCTACTCCCTCCCTGGGCCGTTCTGAACTCCCAGAGGGCACATTCTGACTACTTGAAGGAGGAAGAAATTCATTCTCAGTGATATTGCAGGGAAAGTGCCAGGGAGAGGCATGTGGGTGAACAAGCCCGGGGCCAGACCCCAGCATCCCAGGCCTGCTGGCCTTTCCCTCTGTGCGCTCCCCTCACTCCAGGACTCCAGGCTTTCATCACCAGGCAGACAGATTGACCAAGACCTCAAAACTCACAGTGTCTCCAGATTGTGCAGCCCCTCGAAGCTGTGGGTCCCCAGATGCTGGATGCGGTTGTTATGCAAATGCCTGCACAGGAAGAAAAGATGCATCAGAATGGGTGCCGGTGGCACTGGGGCCCAGGGATGGAAGAGCACACGGTGACATGAGTGGGAAAGTGGAGGCAGAAGCATGGACAGAATGACCCTAATGGTCCATCCCTTTGTTTCCAGGAACAAAATGACTGGCCAAGACGGACTCCTGAAGCCACAGTCTCCAAGGCTGGATTGACCACAGGCTATCCCGTTTTGATTTCCTATTGAAGGAAAAAGGGCGAGGAGAGCCCGAGGCCAAGGCTAAAGCCAGCTCCCCCTAAGCGCTAGGAGACAGGCCTGATGTCAGAGGGGCTCAAGTCTGAGGCTTTTTCTATGGCCGGGCTCTGCAGGACCCAGCCTGCCTGACTCAGTGGCCAGACGTACTTACGGGAGCCAACAGCAAACCGCTGCAGACAACATATAATTAAAGGCGAAGCTTTCTGTTACAACTGGAGAGAGCTGCAGACACGCTCAGAGAAGAGGGAGGTTGGTGAGGCCGGAGGAATCAAGGAAGGCTTTATAGAGGTGGTGATCCAGAGCAGGGCCTTGAAGGACAGGTGAACTGAGCAAGCAGAGGGAAGGGCATTCCAGGCGAAGGGGGCCCCAAAGTGGTGCAGCTTGAACAACCGGACAGAGCTATCCAAGCATAAGTCAGAAAAAAACGACATTGCATGGAAATTGTGAAAACATGCAACAGGGAAACAAACAGAGAGCAAGAGGAGGAGGCAAAAGTCAGGCAAAGCTTCAAGCCTAGAAGAAAAGGTAAGTAGTGAACCAGGAAGACAAGGAAGTGAATCACAATAGCCTTCTGCTACAAAGCAATCCAATAAAACAGTATTTCAAAGATAAATCTTCCTAAATGAAAGAAAAAATGACACAGTAGATTAAGGAAATAAGTCCAGGACCAACACTACATCACTAAAAAAAAAACTAGTCAAGGGCCTGGACAGCATTCCTCAGCCTCCTGTCCACTTCATGGGTCACCTGCTAAAAGCCTCTGTCTTCCATCCCATGAGTTGGAGGCAGGTGAAGGACTAAGGGGTAGGCCAGGCATAGTGGCTCATGCCTGTAATCTCAGCACTTTGGGAGGCCAAGGCAGGCAGATCACGATGTCAGAAGTTCAAGACCAGCCTGGCCAACATAGTGAAACCCCACCTTTACTAAAAATACAAAAATTAGCTGGGCTTGGTGGCAGGCACCTGTAGTCCCAGCTACTGGAGAGGCTGAGGCAGGAGAATTGCTTAAACCCAGAAAGTGGAGGTTGCAGTGAGCAAAGATTGTGCCATTGCACTCCAACCTGGGTGACACAGCAAGACTGTATCTCAAAAACAAACAAACAAAAAAACAAAAAACTGGGCCGGGCGCGGTGGCTCAAGCCTGTAATCCCAGCACTTTGGGAGGCCAAGGCGGGTGGATCATGAGGTCAAGAGATCGAGACCATTCTGGTCAACATGGTGAAACCCCGTCTCTACTAAAAATACAAAAATCAGCTGGGCATGGTGGTGCGTGCCTGTAATCCCAGCTACTCAGGAGACTGAGGCAGAAGAATTGCCTGAACCCAGGAGGCGGAGGTTGCGGTGAGCCGAGATTGTGCCATTGCACTCCAGCCTGGGTAACAAGAGCGAAACTCCGTCTCAAAAAAACAAAACAAAACAAAACAAAACAAACAAACAAACAAAAACTAGTCAATAAATTTAAAACAAGGGACAGTGTAGACACTGCTAAAAATTGAATTGGTATCAGAGAGAAAACTTGAGATGATCATGGTGACTATGGTTGAATGAGACAAAAACGTTAAAACAAAAACTAAATGCTGAAGACATAAAGGTGATTTAACACAAGCATGATTGATGTTTCTGGGGCAGAGAAACCAAAAATGAGACTGAAGATGTATTCAAAGACATAATACAAAAAATTCCGTAAGATGATGAAAATGGAATCTGCAGCTCAAAAGCATACATTGTTCCAGGATAATTGGATGCTGAATCTTCTATACTGGGACATATTCTAGTTAAACTATTAAATTCAGGAATTTAAAAACATCTTCAGGCGGAGGAAGGAAATCACTGACAAGTGGGAAAAAATCAGGCTGGCTTCCAAGTCGTTGTTCAAATATAAAGTCAAGGGACAGCCTCGCCCAGCGTAGATGGGTAAGGACGGGCCTCCTGTGAGCCTGGGGATTTAAAGCTTCTGTCTGTCTTCCCCATTGTTCCCCACCTGCTCCATGAGGTTCTAGTTCGGGAGACAGACTCCTGTCCCCAGGGAGCTTCTGACCCAATGGGGGAGAACACTGCCTTCTGGGAGTGATCCTCCCTCACCAAGGAGTTTTAATTCTTCCAGTTTCCTTCACACCTATATCCCAGTTGTCACCAAACTCTATCATTCTTCCTGCCTCCTGTTGAAACCCCATCTCCATTTTCCACCCCCTTCTGCCTCCCCCAGTATATCAGGTCCAGACCATCTCAGCTAAACATCCAGCTCCAGGCCTCCAACTCCCTCCTCTAAACCATTCATTCAGCCCTGGTATCTTGGGTACCTCGAATGGCCCAGTTTGGGGAGGTGTTGGGGCTTATAGTCCAGATGACACACATTGACACCGCTGCTGTCCAGCTGAGTGCTACCTAGGGGTCCTGCTGGTGCCAGAGCAGTGGTGGTGGCGGGGGACGGGGTTTCACATGAGGCAGAGCAGCCTGATGATGATGAAAGTTCAGGCTTTGGGTTTAAAAGAAGCCCCTTCTCCTCCACCTTGCTTGCCTGCTCACACCTCCAGCCAGGGCCCTGTCCATCCCTTGATTTGAACCAAATGTCTTTCTTCCTTCCCATCATATCCAGTCTTCCTTATCTTCCTCCTGGGCCTTCCTACGGCTCATCCCATAGTCCCTGGACAGCATTCCTCAGCCTCCTGTCCACTTCGCGGGTCACCTCCTGCTAGAAGCCTTCTCTTCCATCCCATGAGTTGGAGGCAGGTGAAGAACTAAGGGGTAGGCCAGTCACGGTGGCTCATGCCTGTAATTCCAGCACTTTGGAAGGCCAAGGCGGGTAGATCACAGGGTCAAGAGATTGAGGCCATCCTGGCCAACATGGTGAAACCCCGTCTCTACTAAAAATACATTAGCTCGGTGTGGTGGTGCACACCTGTAGTCCCAGCTACTTGGGAGGCTGAGGCAGAAGAATTGCTTAAACCCAGGAGGCAGAGGTTGTAGTGAGCCAAGGCTGTGTCACTGCACTCCAGCTAGGCAACAGAGCAAGACTCGGTCTCCAAAAAAAAAAAAAAAGATTAGGACTAAGGGGTAATGTTTCTGGCCTCTTCCCATGCAAAGGGACCAGTTTTACTCCATCAGCTTTGCTCCTACACCAGCAGGTTTTCTTTCCTTAGTCCCCGGTTCCTCATTGTCCTCAGTGGGCCCCTCCCCGTCTCTCCTAGATCTATAACAGGCCTGACTTACAGGCCAGTTCCTGGCTCCTGCCCAAACCTTGGAGTCACCCATGACTCCCTTTCTTCTTGGTTTTCTACCCTTTGAAAATCTCTTGATCAGGTCAGTGCTTTCTTCAAACAGCCCTCACAGTCATGCCTTCCCTTCCATCCTTTCTGCCACCTCCTTAAACTAACTAGACTTTGATTGATACCAAGAGCCTCTGAACTGACGTTCCTGTCTCCAGTCTGCCTTGGTTCCAATCCAGCCTTCAAATTAATCTTCCTAAACTACTCCCTTTTAACCCTTGCCTGAAAACCTTCAAGCTTCCCTCCCACATGGGCAGATAGAAGCCAAGCTCCCTGCACTGACGTTGCGAGTCCCAGCGTGCACCTTTCCAGCTTCTTCTCCCGAGCTCTGCACGGGACCCTCTGCTTCAGCTAGACTGGTCTGGTCACTGGCAGCCAAACACGCTTACTCTCCCTCCGTGTCTTTATCGCTATCTGCTTGGAACACCCCCATCCTCTTCACTTCACCATCTTTCCAGGTCCAGGCCCCACCCCACCTCCCCCAGGAAGCCTCCCTCTCCTCCATCTCAGCCTTCTCACCATACCTGTGTTGCTGCAAGTCTGAACTTGCCATCTGGCTGTTAGAATAAGTTACACTACAACACGCATTATTTTTCCCCATATTTATTCTGCTGTTTCAACTGGACTGAAAACCCCTCGGGGGCAGTGGCTATATCTCAGTTTTTTGAGTTTTCAGTACGCCAACATGGGGGCTTAATAAATGCCTGCTTCTGCTCATTCATCTGGGACTAACTATGAAGTTCTTATTTCTCCAGTAATCCTTTTTTTTTTTTTTTTTTTTTTTTTGAGATGGGGTTTTGCTTTCCTGACCTAGGCTGGAGTACAGTGTCGCCGTCTCTGCTAATGGCAGCCTCCGCCTTCCAGATTCAAGTTATTTTCCTGCCTTAACCCCCCAAGTTGCTGGGATTACCAGCATGCACCACCATACCTGGCTAATTTTGTATTCTTAGTAGAGACGGGGTTTCTTCATGTTGGTCAGGCTGGTCTTGAACTCCCAACCTCAGGTGATCCACCCTCCTTGGCCTCCTAAAGTACTAGGATTACAGACGTGAGCCACTGCACCCAGCATTTTCCAGTAATCTTATCCCTCATAGAGGCCTGACCCCAACCCCTCACAATGTCATGGGGCTATCACCAAAGCTAGAACCAATCACCTTGTTCTGTTTACCTCTATAAATACCCCCCACCTCACGACTCCCAGAAGAAGGGAGGGTGTGGCATCCTGACACAAGAACGTAGTCCACAAGGATATTCATCTTGGTTCTTCAGCTTCTCAGGACAGGGAATTAGACAAACAAACTGGTACCTGCCTTTTCATCGCTCAAATGAAACTAGGCATCATCCATTCCCCGGCTTAGAAAACCAGGCCAGATCTCCAAAAGCAGCGGGGTAGGGGTGGGGCAATGTTACCACTCAGTAGAGCCACTAACACGCATGTTCCTAAGCCATGTTCCTGCAGCAATTAGTGTGTAACCCAAAGCAATTATACATGACCTCCAAGCCCTTTTAGTAATTACCCTATGAACTTACCAATCATTCATAGCAATTAGCTGGGAGCTAATTTGCCCTCTAAAGTTCCCACTGGGAAGGCAGAGTTAACACCAGTCCCCAATTCCTGCCAGGGATGCTATCTCCCAGGTAATTACTGTGATGGGGCTTTGCCGTCTAATTACAAGTGATGGCTTTTCTCTGCTTCTTAAGGCCTGGGAAATGAGATGAATTTACCCGATCCCTGTGCCAAAGCATATGACCGCATCATCTGATTGTCAAATATGATACACATTACTTAAGAAATTCTTGATTTATATTCCAATTAGCATGGTATCGTTATTATATCTGCATGGCAAGAAAATAATAGCTTAATTCCTGTTTTCTGATTATAATACCCGGACCCTTTAGTGGATCTCAGAGCACGTTTCAAGCTCTCATGTCATTCGATTTCATGATAACTCTATGGGATCAACAGTGAACGGTCATCCTCATCTTTTTCCAAAGGGAGGCCAGAAGATTTAGCAACATGCAGAGAAGAGCAAAGCGAGCCAGGCTCTAATCCAACTCGGGTAAACATGCAGCCCCCAGCCCCCAGCAGGACCCCGCTGGGGATGGGGAACAGAGCAGCACTCACAGCACCACAAGGCTGGTGAGGTTCTGGAAGGCGTAGTCAGGGATGTGGCTGATGTGGTTGAGGGCCAGGGTCATGGCCTGCAGGGCAGGGAGGTTGTTGAGGGCCCTGACAGGGATCTCCGTGAGTACATTGTCGTCCAGCCAGAGGTGGCGGAGGGAGGACAGCCCCTCAAAGCTCCTCTCCGGGACCAGGGAGATGAGGTTGGCATCTAGGCGCCTGGTGGAAGAGAGGATGGAGAGGGGTCAGTCCAGGGCAAGATGCAGACCAAGCTTTGGGGCTAGACTGGGCCAGCTAGGCCCTCAACAGGGCCTTCAATGTTCCCTGAGACTAAAGTTGTGACTTGGCCACCAAGTATCCTATATCTCACCTCTTCACGTTTCCATATTTGGCTCCATTCCAACCCATAGTTCTTTTTTTTTTTGAGAAAGAGTATTGCTCCGTTGCCCAGGCTGGAGTGCAGTGGTGTGATCTCGGCTCACTGCAACCTCCACCTCCCACCAATCCCATAGTTCTTGATCCTCTATGCCATACGTTTCTAAGAATGGCCCCACCTCTTCCTCTCAGACCCAAGGCTGAACCTATAACCTTTCGTAGATACCCAGTATTCCCCTTTACATCCATACTCGCACGCTTCCAAATCTATGCCACAGTACCCTTACTCTGTGAGTATGACCTTCACCTTCCTAACCCTCGTATGACAGTCCAGTACCATATAATGGAGCCGTTCCCAGCATTGGCAGAGAGAATGCCCTCTGAACCAAACCGAAGAAAACTGCCTCCCCAAAAATGTAAGCCATTCCCTGTCACCCATCCCTAGCACTACCTGTTCCTTGTCGCTTCAAGGGCCCAGGGGCCAAGGGGCTCTGCTAAAGTCCTGGGGCTTCTCGCTCAGTTGATGACCTCTGGGAGGTTCCTGCATGCCACAGCTGAAGCTCTTGATGAGCTGCCTCTCAGAACAGGTGAACAGATGGTGGGTGATCCTGTTTGTGCATAACCAGCGATTCTAGGGTGATATGAGGACTACTGATGGGAGCCCCAGAAGATCTTGGCAGCCCAGCAAAACAAGTAGACTTTCAACCTGAGCTGTTCACAGATGTGCCCAGGCCATGACAGCCTTTATCAATATGCTATTGTCTCCGAGTCCCAGGTTGGAACTTGGGCTGAACCCCTATTGCCCTAAGCAGACGGTCTCACAGGGACCAGAAAAACTGACCTGTGACCATGGATCTATTGCTGGACTTTCCTATCTTGGATCAAGGCTCAGCACTGAGCCATGGTCCTCCCACATAGCCATATGGCATGTAAGCCATGGAAACCCAGCTTATTCACAAAGGCCCTACAGCCCCTCATCCTGAACACAAAGAAGTGATGTGATCAGTAGGGTGGGGTGGATGATCTTCTTTCATCCCAACAGCACAAGCCCACTTGTAGAAGGTCCAGCAGTGCTTCTGTCTCTTCCCCAAGCATCTCACCAATGCTCTCTCTGTGAAGACCTCAGGCACCGCTGGGAGACATCCCCAGCTCATCAGCGAGGGGGCTGTCGGTGGATGGGCCAGCACTGCAGTCTCAGGTGTGAAAACACATTGACCAGGACACCTTTTGAAAGCCGTAATTAGGAAAGACTTCCCACCCACATCAAACCTGCCATGATGGGACCAATAGCCCTTCAGCGAGTGCCCTCTGCTGGCAAGGCCTGCCACCTTAGACATGGTTCTCTAGTGGTGGCCGTCATACCCTTGATGGTCTGTGGCTGAATCCCCATGGGGAGCTTTGTAGAAATGTGGACTCCCATGGACCATCAGCTCCAGCATCACCTGGAAGCTTGTTCCAACTGCAGAATCTTAGGCCCCACCTCAGATGTACTAAATCAGAACCTGGATTTTAACCTGACACCCAGGTGATTCATTGATTCATCAGCACAGTAATGTTTTTAAAGCACTGATCTAGGTTTTCCAGATCTGATGCTCTGGTCTAATGACCTTGGATGGCCGGAGAAGAGAGGAAGACTGAATGAGGATACAGAAAGCCATTTCCTGCTGTGGATAGTGCTCAGCTGGTCCTGAGAGCCCTGTTCTTAGATTTGTTCATTACACCAGAAGATGAGGGCTCTACCTCAATCTCCTGCATATATGACCATAGCAGGCACTCCGTTCAGCTGTGAACTCCCGGCACACAGCATGATGCCTAGTTTGCAGATGGCTCTCAATGTTTTTTAATAAATGAGTGAATAAATCCTCTCTGAATCCTCTGCTTCCGAGCCTCAAACTGACAGCCTGATCAAGCACACCAGTAAGCTAGAGGAAACCTGGACACCTCCCCTTATCAGGGATGGTCAGGGATCCTGGCTGTCCTGCTTTGACACCCCATTCTATTGTGGTGAGGGCTCTCACCTCCCATTTTCCCCCATCTGCAGATGCCCACCCAGCAGATGCCCAGACTCCCCTCCTGACCCTCAGAAGGCTCTTTCCATGGGGGCAGCATCTTGGTCCCAGATTTTCCAGAGAACACAGACAGATACCTAAGCCCTGAGTCCTGTTTAGGACCACATAGAAGAAGTCACGTTTGAGATGGCCTCTTAAGGGAGGGTAGAATTTCAACAAGGAGAGTTGGGAAGTGGGGTGTCATGAATGAGGGCCTCAAGGGAAGAGAATGCAGGTCCAGGGTGGATGGGGGAAGGGAACATAGATTTCAGGTATCCTTAAGAGGTCAAATTGATAAGACCCAGCAACCCACTGGATTTGGGGGCCAGGGCGGGGCTGGGGCCTGACTCATCTCACAGATTCGGGCCTTGCTCTCGGCTACTGCCTATCTAATGGGTAAATTAACAGACCCAGGAAGCCTGAATCCCTAAGGAGGGCAGTAGAGAAGCTCATGGCGGAGAACATCCCTACAGTGACAACCGTAACACCAGTAATAATCATTGTCTCCATTCATTGAGTCCTTGTCCTATGCCAGGTATACAACACCAGGTACTGTGTCCTATATCTTCTCAAAAATGCCATTGAGGTAGCTCTGATTAGCCCCATTTCACAGAGAGATTAAGCCCCCCAAGGCCCCACAGCTAGTAAGCTGCAGAGCTTAAATCTGAACTCAAGTTGTCTAAGGTCAAAATTCACGTGCCTCACCATTGTGTGATGCTGGCACCAAGGTGCATGAAGTGGGGTAAGGATCTGTTCACCTACGACAGCCTGGGACACGAGGGCAGAGATTGTGGCTGAGCTGAGAAGATGGCCACCTACCGTGAGGAGGTGCTGGGAGGCAGGCAGGAAGTGGGGCATGGCAGGGCAAGGGGAAAACTGGCTCGGGGGGCACTTGGAAGTCGCCTCTGCTATGCACGTGTGTATGTGTGAGTATACACGTTTGCCAGCCACCTGTGTGTGCATGCTCACACATGTCACCTACGGTCCTGATTAGTCCATCGCCTGCATTTTCTGTAACCCATAGGCGGGAGAGCTTGGGAAGGGCACTTCTGCCAGGCTGGGCACTGGCTCAGCACAGGACTTCACTTTCTAAGCCTCTTAGGGAAGGGCTGGATGGGCTGGGCCTTCAGGTTTCTTTCTACTCTGTTAGGGAGAATCTATCTTCTGTCCTGGCTCATGATATACTGAAGTGGTATATTGGAGTGGCTGAGGGCTGGGGAGGGGAGGTGTTTGCAGCCCTGTTCCTGGTACTTGGGGTCTGCGACACACCAAAGGAGAAAAGGAAGCAAACTGGCAAAATAAGAAGGTGGAATGAGCACATGGAAGAAATTGGCCAGGCCTGTGTTTGCGTTCGGGGTGAGCAGGGAGTCGGGGCGTTTACACTCAGGCCAGCTGTGCTTGGGGGTAGGGCACGGACCCAGGGCAGCACTGCCAGATACAGCAGATGAAACAACATGCTGCCCATTTAAATTTAAATTTCAGATCACAATTTTTAGCATAAATATGTCCTGTGTAATATTTGCGACAATGCCCAGTTAAATGTGAATTTCAGATAAGCAAGTGTAAGTTTGAGTAAGTCTCAGGCAACATTTGTATTTCATCTGTCAGCCCTGAGCCAGGGCTCCCGGGATGTGGAAGGACTGTGGGCTTCTCCATCACACAGATGTAGCCACAAATCCCCTCCTTCAGCCTTTTGTGTTGGTCTCCTTCGCTGTATGGTTTGATGACCGGCCCACCCCAGAGACTGTGAGGACAAACACCCACTTAGAGGGAGACTCCCAGAAGTACAGAGGGGAGTGGGGGAGGCAGCAGGACACAGCGCAGTACTGGTTTCTGTTCAACTTTCTCCTCTCTCCCCTCTATCTCTCCGTCTCTTCCTTTTTTTTTTTTATCTTCTGACTGCTCAGGCTGGAGTGCAATGGCACGATCTCAGCTCACTGCAACCTCTGCCTCCCAGGTTCAAGCGATTCTCCTGCCTCAGCCTCTCGAGTAGCTGGGACTGCAGGCACCTGCGACCACACCTGGCTAATTTTTTATAGTTTTAGTAGAGATGGGGTTTCACCATGTTTGCTCTAGAACTCCTGACCTCAGGTGATCCACCCACTTCAGCCTCCCAAAGTGCTGGGATTACAGGTGTGAGCCACCACGCCCGGCCTCCCCTCTCTTTTCTTGTTGGACACCTCTTCCCTGTGCCCAGGAACCTCTGACTCTTAGGGACACCTAAGCGTCGGCACCTGGCTATAGAGCAGTCCCTTCTACTCTCTCCCCACCCGCTCCCGGTGGAACGAGGTGCTCTCTGGAGAAATCTCCCACCCTCTCGAGTCAGGGTTCAGGCTGCCCTGGGATCTCTAGTCTTCTGGAGTAGGTGGGCTCTAGGCTCCCCTGCCATCTGGCAGCCAGTGGAGGGGTAGTGGGGAGCTGAAGGAGTCTCTGAGCAGACAGCAGAATCCTCCGCTTGGGACAAAAAGACCTTTTTAAGCAGCTCCCTGTCGAAGGTGGGAGAGCGATCCTGATGGACTCTGGCTTGGCAGGAAGAAGAGAGCAATTATATCAATTAAGCTCTGGAACAGAATCAACAACCCCCAACAGTGCCTCTCGTTCTCCCACGTGGGCCTGGGCCCCTTGAGTGATTTCTGATTATAATTCTTACCTGCAGTAATGGGGCAGATTAGCAGGGACCTCACAGGCCAGTTCAGGCTTGCTTAGGCTCTGGGGAAACAGCTTAACCTCTCGAGGGCCAAACTGCTGCTCATACTCCCCCAGCCAAGGGCTGAGGCTGAAGCACGGAGGGAAGGA